AGGTGATCCATGAGTTGGGGACCTCCGTGCTTGTAGACCTCAGCAGGGATTGCGTCCGATCCGGGTGCTTTCCCGCTGGAGAGCTGCTGCACGGCCCTGATGGTTTCCTGGAGAGATGGCGGGAGGTCTAGGTCCGCGTTGGCCTCGACTTGCGGCAAACGCGCGATGGCGGCGTCGGAGATGGCGGAAGGGCGGTTTAGGACGCCTCGGAAATGCTCGGCCCATCGCTGAAGGATTTGCTCTTCTCAATCAGGAGAGTACTGCCGTCGGCGCTGAGGAGAGGAGCAGTGCCCTTCGTCGGCGGACCGTAGACAGCTTTGATCGCAGAGAAGAAGTTCTTCCATTCGTTGCGGTCCGCGTAGCCTTGGATCTCCTCAGCTTTGCGAGCAGTCCAGGCGTCCTGCATCTCGCGCAGTCGCTGCTGGAGGTGGCGGCGACTGCGGTAGAAAGCAGCTTTGTTGTCCTCAGTGGGGTGATCTACGTAGGCTTTGTGTAGGCGGTTCTTCTCAGCAAGCAGATTTCTGATGGCGGCGTCGTTGTCGTCGAACCACTCCTGGTGTTGGCGGGGAGCGCGACCGAGGACGGCGAGCGCCGTCGCCTGGACCGTGTCTCGCAGTTGACACCAGCGGTTCTCCACGGAGGCGTTTTCGGCAGCGGCGGCATCGGCGATGGGGAGGTTGTCTAGCCGTTGAGCTAGCTCATTGCTGAAATGGAGATGATGAGCGGGCAAGGACAACAAAGCAACATTCAGCTTACCTGGGGGTCGCTTACCTTGAGGTCTCCTGCGAGGCTGTAGGCGAAGACGCATTTCGAGATGACGAGGCGATGGTCGGTCCACCCGTCAGCATCCGCGATCGCCTTCGTCACCAGCACGTCCCGCTGGTCACGCCTTCGGACGAGGACATAGTCCAGCAGGTGCCACTGACGCGACCGAGGATGCCTCCAGGTGGCCTTTTCTCGCTCCGGCAGACAGAAGAACGTGTTTGTCAGGATAAGGCGGTGTTCTGCGCAGGTGCGGAGCAGCAGCAGACCATTGTCGTTTGAGCCGCGGAGACCGTGGGGACCCAGCACTCCTCTCCAGGCAGTATGGTCTGTGCCGA